GTCCTCGCGTACTTTTCGTATTTTACTATTTATGTAAATTTTGTATTATCAGTTTGGTTCAATGGACTGTTTTAAGGTTTATATAGTTGTTGATCAAAAATGCTAAAAAGAAGTATAAAATTTTCTATATTTACAAAATTAATTGAACATATAGTTTAGTATCTCGTCCCACACTTTACATGTTCCAAATATGTCATTTTTCGACAAGTATATGAGAATATTACTAGGAAAATTAGGACGAAAATGGATTGAGACGGATAAGTTTTCTCAATGGCCAATCATAGTTTTATGATAATTTAAAGATCCTAAAGAGAAAAATTTCAATATTAGTAGTAAAAACACTGTATCATTGAAATTAGATTTTTCTAAAAATAGATAATTTATTTTAATGTACAATTTATTTTTAGAATTCTTGCTTACCTTTTGTTTTGGTACAATGTGATTTTTTGTTCAAATATTATAATTTTCAAATAGACCTAATTTTGGTTATTATGTTATTCAAATAATTTGTTATATTTTTCTAGATTCCTCTACATCTTTACATCTTTAGCTAATCTGCCACATATCGAATAAATCATCATTAAATTCTATCATATATTTTAATTTTTACTCCTTTTGCTTCATAAGATAAGATGTTTTGAATATTTTTTTTTGTTTTAAAATATTAAATATTTTTATATTTCTATGTAAATCTTAAATTTATTGGATATTGTGTAACCAATAATATTATGTAATCTCTCTTATTGTCTAACTTTTTAATATTTTATATATTAAATGAACTTTAAAACTAAAAAAAATAATTTAGTCTTCGTACTTTACGATAAAACATCTTATATTTTAAAATGGAAGAGATATTATGTAGATGATTCATGGGATTTTCATGTTTATGTGTGTATGACTACCATACTTTTGTTAGTTATTTTTTTCATTTTTCTTTCAATTTTGAAATGGATTTCAGTTGAGACTTTTTCAAATGGGGTTGATCAAAGAGTAATAATCTCGCTGAGCTGAACAAATAAAAAAATTATCGCCGAGAACAAAAGAGTAAGCCATTTGAAATCTAAGAATCGAAGTAAAATTTTTGGTACTTCACATAACATTAATGGCATATCAACTCTTTCAATCTAAAAAATATGAATATTAATCATTTACATATGAATATGTCAACTCTTTCAATGTAACAAATAGTATTAATCATTTACATCCAAGGTCTCTTATAAACTCATTACGTTGTTATTCTAGCACATAACGTAACGTTACATCAGAAATAAACCCGAGATATACTTTTGTAAATAAGAGTTTGTATGAATTTTGAATGAATGCTTATACAATTAATTGGTTGAATAATAGGTCTGAAGATGTAAATTAGAAAGTAAACCAATCCGCATTGGTCCAGTTGGTAAAGGAGTGTCTATGTGGACTTCCGCCACCTGGATTCGATTCAGGGTGGCCACCGGGGCTTTCAAATGGTCTCTCCGGCCCCAGGATTAATCGGTGAAAGAGGGATGAACGCTGACCCTCAGTGTCAGTGTTTCCGATCTTTTGAGATCCGGATCACCTGAATTATAAAAAAAAAAATAGAAAGTAGCATGTGGAGTTGATATAATTTGATGAATAACAAAGAGAGAATAACTGAATTGTTTTATCCGTTTATTCCATTTTATATTTAATGCATCATTTTACCATGTAATGGAAAAAAAAAATCTTCTTTTTGGAAAGAAACATGAAGTTGACATGCAAAGAAAAATATTATTTGAAGAG